GGAGGCGCCCAGGCCACGGGCTCGGCCACCCGCGCCCAGACCCGGGCGCTCCGTCCGCCTGCCCGCTCAGCCCAGGCTGGACCAGAGGGGCCACCCCGCCGCGCCCGGGCACGATGCGAGCCTGGCCTCTGCCGTCGGTGGATTCGGGCTCCCCGGAGCGGGTTAATAAAAATCCACACAGAGCCAAGGGGGACCCCAAGTGCAGCCAAGGGGCCCACGTTCGTCCAGACGGAGGCGGGGGCGCGAAGGACAGGAGGGAGGGACACAAGGGAAGGACTAAATGGGGGTGGGGGCGAGGGATGGATGGTGTAGTGAAGAGGCTCGGAACCGAGACAACAGAAAGGAGGAGAAACAAAAAGAAGGGGCAATTGGGTAGGGGCGGTAGGAGGGGCACAGACCTGGAATCCGCGAACAGCACCGGGGCCGCACAATGCGCACCGCGAGCAGCTCGCAGCGGGGCGGGACCAGCCCGCTGCCCCGAGGAGCAACCAGTGGGCGCGGCTCCGGGAAGATCTCACCAATAGAAACCGCAATGTTTAGCATGCTCCCACCCAGCTGCAAGGCATTCTGGATAATACAAGGGCAGCCCAAATTCAAGCCTGTTTTAACATTAACTTTAGCATTTTGAAAGATCAAATGACCTTTTCAGTGTTATTTAGATTTGGACTTTAATTAAAAAGTCTCATTAGGGAACCTGGCATGGTAAAAATGTCGACCTATGTGTAAAGACAAAACCCTCGGTCAGCTTTATATACCCTGTGCTCAGTACTACTCTTTCNTACCCTGTGCTCAGTGCTATTCTTTCGGATGTGAGGGCGATCTGGCTGCGACATCTGTCACCCCATTGATCGCCAGGGTTGATTCGGCTGATCTGGCTGGCTAGGCGGGTGTCCCCCTCCTCCCTCACCGATCCATGTGCGTCCCTCCCGAAGCTGCGCGCTCGGTCGAAGAGGACGACCTTCCCCCCAGAGGAGAGGACCGGTCTTCGGTCAAGGGTATACGAGTAGCTGCGCTCCCCTGCTAGAACCTCCAAACAAGCTCTCAAGGTCCATTTGTAGGAGAACGTAGGGTAGTCAAGCTTCCAAGACTCCAGACACATCCAAATGAGGCGCTGCACGTGGCAGTCTGCCTTTCTTTTCTCACTGCAATCAACGCCAAACGATTATTATTATTATTTTTTTACAGGCACACTAATACATGCAACAACTTATAATTCTGCACCCAGGTAAGTAATTAGATGTATAGCTAATTCTTGAAAGGTAGCATAGCTATGTGTTATAAAAGTTCTGTTAATACGTATTATAGAATAGGATGCTGCATTTACGTGGAATTCAAAGGTAAAAATACATGGTTACAAAAAGGGCTTCAAAACTTTCCTGTTTTTAGATGCAGCTCCTATTTCCTAGACTGTAGGTTTTGTGTTTGTCTTGTTTTTCAAATGACTGTAGATGTTTTATTGTTTTCACTCAGGAGGGGCTCTTGAGAGGACCTGGCTTGAGAAGCCACGGTACTGATCAATTGCAGCAACACACCAGATTTTATTTTCAATAGATTTATCTGACAGAAGTGTAAAGAATGAATTGGGACAGTGTGTGTGCGTGTGTGTGTGTGGGGGGGTGTCAAGAAAGAGAGGCCTGTTAAATGTCTGTGTGAATTAAAGTAGTATCGTGAGTTTGAAGAAGATGGGTAAGAAAAGGTGAGATATTAAGGAGGTGTAAGGTAAAGGGTTTACTAATCAGAGTAGTGGGAAAGGGAGGAAGATAAAAGTCTAAAATGATGTCCCCCAACATACACACACATTTCCTTTTCCACCCTCCTTGACTATTTTTCATAATATTTATTGTGATCTAATATACTATACATTTTATTTTGTTGTCTGTAGATTTCATAGAATGTAAATCCCACGGTTAGGGATTTTCACATTTTAAACAGTATACTTTTGTATATCCTGCTCCTACAATAATGCTTAACACAGAGTAGGTATTCAGAGAATCTTTACTAAAAGCATGAAATGAATGAATGAATGAATGAATGAATGAATGAATGAATGAATGAAGCCTTGGTTCCTAGCTCCATAAAGCCTGGTGCAGGACAAGGTTTGGGGGGAAATAATGAGTATATTTGTCTTTCATACCTATGAGCCATCCAATTCGTAACGTCCACTAGACAGTTGTATAAGCCAGTGGTGACTCAGAAGGGAGGACTCACATGGAGCAAATTGTTAGCAAAAGGATGAGCTTATCCAGAGAGAGCATGTAAAATAAGAAATGAAGCAAATCAAGAGTAGCTGGCAGCCCGAGACTCAGAAAAGTCACTTTCCCATATAAGTATGTTCAATTTCATCTTTCTAATTCTGACCTAACACAGAGATTACTGTCTAACATGGGTAGGAGGCCATATTTTCCAGCCCTGCTGAAAGTGATCATCCTTGACTCAATTTTCCTAACCTACCTTTCTACAAGGATTCACTTTCATTGAACTAGATAGCACAAGCATTATTATTCAACTTTGTTGATAAGTCAAACATCTATCTCCACTCCCTTATTTCTAATTGGTTGAGCCACATCACATTGCTGATACTATACTACTTTTTCCTAACCTACAAAAATGACAAGCTCGTATATCCAACCTAATAAAACAGGGGTCACATCATCCTAGCAATCTTGTTTACCTGAAAGAGAAACTAAGGCAGTCTCATTAGACTCTAGTAATTACACAGCCTCATGGAGAAATAAAAATCCCTGCTATAATAATTCTGCCATTCTACCACAGGTACCCTTAGGTCATGTTATTCTTTGGAAGCCCCTAAAATCCTTCTCTTCTTGGAGACTCTTTGAGTCCCTCAGTCTTACTCATATTGTCTACCTACCAACCTGGTATATTTACAGAGGCCCTGGGAAGTCCTGTCTTTAAACCTCGGCCCACCCACTCAGTGGCAGGCAAAGTTGCCTTAAAAATCAAGAGCTTTAAATCTCATTTTCAGAGAAGCTTGATGTGTAACCACTCTGGGAAGAGGGAAACAATTGCTGTAAATTCAGCCTAAGCTCAAGTGGCTGGAATCAGACTGTATCCTACAGCAGGTGTTTACAGCAGGAAGGATGGCTGAGAGCTTGAATCTGTGGGGCTTCTGAAGGGGCACCCATGCCAAGAGGTTAGACGAATGCTGACGATTATACAGTCAGGTCAGTGGTGTTCTGATCATGAGGGGCACATTTAGGGATTCACCAATACAAGTCTGATTGGTAAATCACTTTCCTACAAAATTCTGTTGTGGATTCAAAGAATGTTTGGGAAACGAATTTCCTGTGGAATCTTATAGATAACTCATGAAGTTATGAGTTTCTTTTGAAGGCTTATATTGTACATCTGAGTGCACTGTGAAAGCTAAAAACATACAAGGTAGGTATTAATCATGATGGAATCAGAAACAAGAAGTTTTGACCTGCATTGTTGTTGTTTTTAAATATCTCAAGTCACCTAACTTACTAAAAGCTACATTAAAAAAACAACAAAACTTCCACATTGCAGGATTACTCTTCATACTGCTGCTCTAAGTGTATACTTCCAATGTACAAGTATTAAGAAAAAGTAATAAAATATCAAAATTCCAATTAGGAAATACTAATGTTCTTTTTTTAAAAAAATATGTCTTTATTGATTTCAGAGAGGATGGGAGAGGGAGAGAGAGATATAGAAACATCAATGATGACAGCCACTGATGGGCTGCCTCCTGCACCCCCCCCCCGACTGGGGATCGAGCCCGCAACCCGGGCATGTGCCCTGACCGGGAATCAAAGCCCGATCTCCTGGATCCTAGGTCAACGTTCAACTGCGCCACCCCAGCTGGGCCTAATGTTATCGTTTGATGGAAGAACATGAAAACAAAAACAGAACACTCAAATCCACTTCTCTTAAACCATAACTTTATTTGGAGCAGAATTTTGTAAATGTAAAATTAACATTTTTAAACACCTTAGGATGAACTATTCAAAAAGCAACATTTTATTTCAGAAGGGGCTTACATAAGTGGTTTTCTCTCCTCTATCTTCTCATCATTATGAGTATTTGCTTTATAAATAAATATATTCTCAGTTACTCCCTTGTAATCAAATCAGGTGACTAAAATTTCTACCAGTGCCAACATATCTGAGATCAGAAGACTATTTATTCAGGTCATTTTAAATTCACATTAGCACAGCATCTATAAGAAACTAATAATACGATGAATGTGATATTTGCCTCCAGCTTGTTTTCTTAATGGTTTCCGTGAGAAGGTCCTCACAATAAATTATACAAAATACAGTACTTTGGTTGGAAATTGTAAAAATAATTCTAAAAATTAACCACATATATTAAACAAACAAGTTGCTACAGTATGCTTTAAATGATAGGTAATAGTATGTCACACATTTTCTTATACACATATTGCTTTGGGTCATACACGGAGCTGAAACATACAGCCTGCTTTCTTTTCCTCTCCTAAATGGCACAGAACAATGGCTCGATGGAAGGGAAATGCTACTTCATGAGAAAGCACGGTGCCCATGAACTCCAGCAGTACTGGTATTTGTACTGAAAAACAAAACAATTCTTGACAAAATCTTGACAAAAGAAGAATTGTGTTGTTTTATGTGTCGCCCTGGTTATATTCAATCTTTGCAAACTCCAGGAGATGACACAGTGTCGATGTATTAGATGTTATTTAGTCCTTCAGGCATGAGATGTGTCTTTAAAAAATTTGAAAATCTATTTTCTTTCTATTTAAATCCTATCATACATGAGCTGGATAAGGGCTTAGCAATTAATGAGATTTTACTGTAAAATGAACAATTAGACCAAGTAACGTTTGTGCCTGTGCAGGTTACCCTTTGGCACACCTGTCACTGAGCCTTTGGGCACGAAATGAGAGCCATCCTGAACCATTGTCCTATGTCCTGGAAAGCTTTCTGACTGGAAGTGAGGTACAGTCATGGAAGGTTCGGTTAAACTTGTCGTTGGCCTTGGCGTCTTGCAGTACACTTTATAATTCAATAGTAATTGAGAAATACATGCAACAGGTAGCATTTTTTTCACTTAACAACAAAAAATTGGTCACTATTCCTGTCTATAGTAAACAGCTTGTATACACAATTTGCCCTTTACCCATTGTGGGGTGGGGAAGGGAGTACTTTATAGGATTTTTGCTAGTTCTTTAGAATGTACATTGTTTTTCCAATTTTCTAGTTTTTTCAACTGAACATCAGTTTCTTGACTTTCATATGAGTGAACGTGTTTAGCTTCCCAAGAGAAGCTGTTTGCTGACAAAAAAGGAAAAAGTAAGAGGATGAAAAGTGAAATATTTTCTGAATTTGGGCCCTACAAAAGTATTAGAAAAACCACTTTATAATGTGTAATAACCAGATAACTAGGGTTTTTTTCAATTAAAAAAAAAGTAATAATGGCCTGAACATAAGCTAGAGTTTCAAGAATATGGTATTCACAATCCATTAGCTTTTACAATTTACAATTTACATTTTAAACCCAGCTTTCCAGCAAGCTGGGCAAGGTTACAGATTAACTTACTCTGTATACATAATACAGAAAGAGAAAATAAATATTAACCTCAGTAAAGGACTTGTCTCTAAAAACATATTTTCTGTTGCTCTAGATAATGAGTTGAGAATATAATACAGAAAAATGAATTCAGGTTCAAGTTGTGCTTACACGTACATATTTATTTTCCGAAGCTCTGCCGCCAGTTTGTTAACAGGAAAATATTACCTATCAAATCCACATCCATTAAGTGCTTTTTTCTGGGCCCTTGGGATCATATAGTTACTGGTCAAGTACGTCTCTGAGCCAGATTCTCCAAAACAGAAATTACTCCTGACTTTAGGTTAGCGCTCTTTGGGAGCCACGGTGTACTTGGTTCAGGTCAGGCTGCAACATATCAGTAATACACTGAAGTGGTAACTTACCAACTTATTAGGCCGAACCATATCAAAGTGCCAATATTCATTTTAACCTATGAAAATGACAATTTCATACGGTTCGGCCTGCTATATATCCTGGACCCTGGAACCACATGAGAGTCCTTGAGCCCTGGAAGAACGAGTCCATATGCTTCTGAGATTACACTGCACTCTCTGGAAGTGACCCTCCTTCCCTCTTGCCTTCCAGGTAACTATGAGTGGAGGCAAATGTGTCCTATAGAGATGGATGAGAGCAGACCTTTTGTCTTTTTTCTGTCTCCAAACTAGCTTTGTCATTTTCAAAATTGCTGTAAACATTCCTCTCAATGGAACAGCCATTGCCAGCCAACAGAGTTCTTGCTGTCGAAAGAAACTACACAGGGTTAAGTGTTCAAAGTTCAAATGTGGCACACTGTGACACGAACATCACCGTAACTGTGGCTTCCTAGATAAATGGAACTTCTGCCATCAATCTTTTCTGCTGAGATTTTAGCTAGGAGAGAAGATTATTCATTGTGTGCTCCTAGCCAAACCTGGAGAACTGAGCTGAATGCAAAATTCTATCAGTTATTATCATGAAAAATCGGCTGCTTTGGAACTTAGCTTTCTGGTTGTGCATCTTGGCACGGATATCAGTTTAACTGACTGTATTAACCTTTATGTTGAGAATCTTGGGGCTTGAAAAGCTTCCCTTTTGTGGGTCCTTACACAGTTTAATTTTAAAAAATAGAAGAAACAGAATGCAATGGCATCGCATGCTAAAGCCTGGGTTCATTTGGCTATCTCCAACCACAACAAAGGGTGTGGTAAAAATTTTAAAAAATTATTAGAGTTCTTTCATCTGGGGAACAAACACCAAACAAAGTGAATTATATAACAGTACTTTTAGAATGGCACAGCAGTCTCAAAAAACCAAACGACAGAGTGATGTTGAGAAGCAAAAGAGCATTTTTCTAGTGCTGATGTCAGTCCAAGGAAGCCTGAGGTACCTTGTGCACCACATTTAAAATTTAACCTCTTCACAAATATCCACACGCGTTGAGTAAATAACCCTCTATCATGTAGCCTTAAATTGCACCCCTGTTGCAATACTGCATCAATATTATTATTACATTTTTAAAAATCTGTATAAAATATTATCTGGAACCCCAAAAGAAAATCAATTAATCTTTAAAAAGTTTGTTACAAAGTTGACTGTATAAAATGCTAAAACATAATCCATATGTACAAAATGCTGCTGTTTAAGAAAATAATGGGACCCAGTATTAGAATAAAATAATTTTGTACAAAAACAGGGTATTGCATTCAAATCAATATTTAAAAAAAAAACTTTACAAAAGAATATTGAAATGTCTTGGTTCAGAAGAATAACTATAAAGTGTTTGTTTGCTTTCACACCATCTGAAAGTTTCTTGCAGGAAGAACACCAGTTGGCTGCGGGACAGTGTCCTGCTTTCCCCTACGAAGGGCTCGCTGACTGTCACCGCCGAGGCGCGTACTTGGAAGCCCAGTCCGTCCGGCCGTGCACTGGCTGGGCCGCCGGAGGCCGTGGGACCAGCCCAGGAGTGCTTCTAGGCTGGGTGTGGAAGAAAGGTCGTCCAGGGTGAGGTCTCACAGCCTTCAGGGAAGAATAACCTGCGGTGAAAGAGAAAGGTGGGCTTGAATGATAGGGGACCCATGCAAACAAAGTGCAGAGAAATGCATCTCGGTGACAGAAGAGGAGAAAATGAGAACCCAAGAGGAGCACTTTGCCTCCTACTCATAGCCTTCCCTCTCTCCATTAGAGACAACCCAATGCTACAGTTGCCAGGCCAAAGAAACGGGTGTCATTCCTGACTCCTCTCTTTTTCTCATATTCCACTTGTAATTTGTCAGCAAATCCTATTGGCTCTACCTTCCAAATATACCCAGAATCTGGCCCAACTCAACCACTACCACCCCAGCCAGGCCAGCACCATCCACTGCCTGGATAATTAGCCTCCTCCTTGGTGTCGCCGCTTCCAACCTTGCCATCCCCTTTCAGTCTAGTGATACCCAGCACTTGAGTGAGCTGGAAGATGGGAATCAGGCCACCCCACTCCTCTGCTCAAAACCCTCCAGTGGTTCCCATGTCGCTCAGAGTCAGTGACGACCTGCTCACGGTGGCAGCAGGCCTCATACCACTGGGCCTCTTCTCACCTCTCTAACCTCCTCTCCTCTTCCTACTCCCCTCCTCTCACTCACACTACTTTGCACTCTGCCTCCTATCTACTTACTGAACATGCCAGGCCTGTCCTGTCTCAAAGCGCACACACGTCAGAGTCCCACGAGTCCCACGCCTGGAGCAGTCTCACCCACTCTGCACGGCTGGCTCACCCCTGCACATCCTTACTCAGCATCTCCTTTGCAGTGAGGCCTTCTTCCGTTACCCTATGTAAAACTGCAATCTGCACCATCCTCCAACCCCCACATTCCCTACTTCCTGCCTGCTCTATTTTCTCCTTAGCACTTATGAGCATCTTATCTGGCCTATGTATTGTCTACAGACTTCAAGTTCCACGAGGACAGGGAGCTCTGTCTGTCTCCTTCACAGGTGGGTCCTAGACCTACAACAGACCTATAACTACAAAGCAGTTGTTCAATAACTGTTTGCTGAATCAATTCATGAACAATCCAAAATAGAACTTACCAGGGGAAGGGTCTGGAATAGGCGCCAAGTGTACCCTCTGCACAGCAGAACCAACTTCTTTTTTCAGAAAGGAAGGGATATAGTTTCCAGTCAGTCCACTAGAACTTGTAGAGCCGGAACCAACTGATTTGCAAACGCGAAAGCTCATTAGTACTAAGTCAAGTGCACACGACAGGGTTAAAGAACAGCGATGCAGAACAATAAAGAATTAGGTTTTTACTTTTTTGAGGGGGAAGAATTATGATAAAAACATATTCTGAGTAGAGCATTCCAGCACACCACACTGTCAGAAAGACGGGGGTAGGGGTAGGGGACAGTGCTGCTCCTGTAGCCCACACCCAAGTGGAGGACGGTTGGTTTGTTTACGAAAAGGGAAATTTGGAATTTTTCTTTCTTTTGGTATAGTTGGTTTAGCCTATTCTGAAATTTGCTTTTTCTATTTCATAATATAGAACAGTTATCCTTCCATGTCACATTCTAGAATATAAATAAACCCTAATTCATTTAACTATTCTCTTGTTCATCGACACGCAGGTTCTGCTAATTACTTACCTATTACAAGTAATTCTACACTAAGTACTCTTGTTTGTAATCAGAATAATTAACCATTATTAAAATATATTTAATACATTCACTTATTATGCTATTTCCATCTTGAGAGCGCTTTAAGGGCCAGAACTATATGCTACTCACCTTACTGTTCTAGGACATGAGTACAATGCCCTACATATAGCAAGTAATCAATATGTATATATTGGATGGGGCAATGAACATCTATAAGCCTTATTATTAAGGCTTAAAGCTACACATGGAGTGATGAGGAATGTTATTCTGGCCCTTATACAAATGGGAGGTACAGCCATAAAGAAGAGCCGCTGAGTGGGAGAGCTGCTCTGTGTCTTCCCCACACAGTGTTCTTGGCCAGCGCTCAAAGCAGAGCGGGAGCCATGGCTGGAATGCATGTCTGAGGAGCTGTGTTGGTCAGTCGGAGCTGGAGCAGGTGTTGCATTTTTGGTGAACAGATAGATATGAAGAAAAAGGGGGAGAGAACTTGAATGGGTAAAGTCACAAAAGGGAAAAAGCGTACAGTCAATAAATACAAGAAAAGATGCTCAACCTCATTAGTGAACAGGACACGTAAGTTTAAGACACACAAAAATGCCATGTCACACCCATCGCATTAGCACAAATTTTGCAATCTTGATGATATCAAGTGACATCAAGGATGCAGCACAACTCCCACGCCCTGCTGGAGAGCAATTTGACAATATCTGTAAAGTCCAAGATGAGCATACTCTTAACCTAGTATGTCTACATCACGCCCAGAGAATCCCCACACAGGCGCACAGCAAGGTCCACGTCAGCATGCTTTCTAAAGCAAAATTATAAACAACTTACATGTTCATCGAGAAGAGAAGGGATAACTAGATTATGGTCTAGTAGAAGTAATAAATGATGGTATTGTATGGTTAGATATGCTGTATGTGTAGTATGATATATATTCTATATATGTATAATTGCTACACACGTAATATAATTATTAAAATGAGTGCAGTGGAGATCCAGGATTATATACATATAAATTTTAAGACATGCCAAACCATACTATGTATTTCATGTATATATTTTTTAAAAAGCACAGAAATAATAAACACCCAAATCAGGTGGGAGTTGCGGGGAGGGAGGGAAAGAGAGGGAAGGCCTAGACATGGGGCTTCAGGTCTATTTCCAAAGTTTGACTTTTTAATCTGGCAGTGGGTGTGTGGGTGTTGATATTATTTTCTTCTCTTTTGTATTCCTTGAAATAAATGCACACACAATGGATAAAGGTGGGGAGAAGTGAAACCTAGGTGTTCACCTGGAATGAGGAAGGGGAGCAGCACAGAGCAGGCTGCCTGTGTGAGGGACGGCCATATGGGAAGCTGCAGCTGGGAACAGGGTCAGTCAGCCTGCAGAGCTTACGAAAGTCATTCACCCGTTTACTAAAAAGTGGGGAGGGCCTGCCAAACCATCTTCCAACCGAAGTCTTGATGCTCGGCTGGGGCTGGGTTATCACACAGAGGGGACAAGCTGGAGCTGAGTTCAACCTCCAGAGGTTGCCCACCACAGAGGGGGCCCCTCAGAAGTCAGACACTGCAAAGTTATTTTTGTTTTTCCCATGAGCCAAGAAAGACTATGTTTTTCTCCCCAGCTACTCCTGAAGGCAGACCCAGTGGAGCTGGCTGAGTCCCCAGGGCCTGCTACT